AAATGAGGTGCTAGGCTGCATCTATGGTCTTCGACTCACATGAATTGTCCTTGGAACTGGACTGGGCGGGCGGGGCCTGGGGCGTCTCTCTGGCTTTAGACAAATTACGATGGTCCTTTTTTCAACTGTCCCTCTCTTTGGTGAGGAGTTCAGATGATTTCAACTGCTAACCTTTATTTGCTCTCCTCCCCAACCTCATCCTGGCACATAAAAAATCAAGCCGCTGCAATCTTGACTCTTGCCTTAGAAAGCATGAGAAGAAATGGTCAATCCCATGTTTAAGAACAATTCCTTCCCTGGTCTTTTGTTTAACATTCCGTGGTTTCGGGGACGCGCACGCAGGGCCGGCGGGGGGCACTTGGTCCTGCTCCGCCCCGCACTGGCTTTTTCGGCCTCACGGTCTCACAGCGCTTCTTCGTTCCACCTTCATTTTCAAGCCAAAGTGCCCTTCTTTCATCTGACTCTGGCAAAGTGCTCCTAGCTCCAACCTCCCTCTTTACTTCCACCTGGAGACCCCTCTCTTTCGGTGTGGCCTGTCCTCCCACTGAGAGATGAGAGAAACAACACACTTGCCCCGTCTTCCTTCTGTTGTGTGGAAGCTCCCCTCCCTCTTCCCTAAGTGAGGAGGGACGAGAAAGCTGGGTTCCAGAACGTACACTTTTCCTGTTGCTCCCTTTCCTGATTATTTACAGTCCCTATTTTGCCTGCAGTCAGTTAGTTTGGTTTTGTTCCCTTTTCCCACCGATGTACAACTAGGAAATTCAGAAATGATCTGCCTTCTCATGTCCTTCCCCACAACCTTTTTCAGAAATGTAAATCTTCTCTTCTCTGAACATTCACTAAAATAAAAACATAATTAGGGAGAAGTATTGGAAACCTATCCTGGTTTCCCCACATTTCATACGAAAGTGGTTATAATTTTTGTTGTTAATTATTAAGTTGGTGGATGTCAAACTCTGAAATTTAAAAAGATATAAATGATTCGATTAAAGTACAATTGCCTGTCTGAAGGTTATTGCTAAAAAAAAAAAGACACTTAGGTGTGATGATAGCAGGTGGCCTGGTAAATACTGAGACCCCAGACATTGTAGGGGTTTGTAAAGTCCTCTGGATGGCACTTACGAGATCTTGATTCCTATGGAGAGGTTCTTTAATTTACTTCGTTTTTATTTCCCTTATTTAGGAAGCCAAAACACTGACCTCATTTCAAAACATCCACAGTCCCCTCGGGTCACCATCCCGATGTTTAGGCCCTGGACGCGTATGTCAAAAGTGTGGGGGTGGAGAGCTGTGTCACCAGAAGGAAGCCGTGTGCTATTTTTAAATTGATGCAACACATTGAAACATATCATACACATATCATACTAATGACACACACGCTGCATTGTAACATAGCATGTGTCATACATACATTCTCCCTCACTCACACATACTCGCTCTTCTTGTCCGGCTTTAGAAAAGGAAGGCAGCCAGGAAGCAGAGCCCAATGATTTGAGTTCAAAAGGCTGTTAAAGTTCAAACACCAAGTGTCCCTCTCGTTCTCAGCCTGGCTTTGAGACATGTGGGAGGGCTTCAAAGCCCTGGTGCCCCTCTTTTAGAGCTCAGGCTTGCAGTTGGTCCCCAAATGTTTACCAGCATGAAGATGCCGAACTTACAGGAAGTGGGAAATGGGTGTGGGGGGTGAGGGTGGGTGGGTGGGTAGGGAGTGGGGAGAAGAGGGTGGGGGGTGTTCTCTTGATGTGGTTAGTCTGTCATTGACCTTGTTTGGGTATAGCAGGAGTTGAATTAGAAAATGAAAACACGTTTCATCTTGCACTCATTTCATCCCATTTTTTACTTTCCTTAGGGAAAAAATAATCTTTTTCTCCTCCAAGTGAAGTCAGATCTCCAGATTTGGTACTCGTTCTCCTTTCACCCACAGTCGTCTTCCCCTACAGTCATCTGGCCCCTACTTTGCAACTCCCAATCCACCCGCCGGCCGGGCCGGCCAGGACCGGTGGCTGACACTGAGTAACGAGGGCTTGTTGAGCCGTTCTGATGGTACCATCGCAGGGAACAGACCCGTGAGGGTTCTGAGAGCCTGGCTAGTTGGATCATTCATGATTTGCCGCTCTTACGAACACTCTTCATGAGAGAAATCTGCCTGAGAAATGCTGATTAATAAAGGTAACTGAGGTGGGGGTTTTTCCCCCCTCTGGTGTTCTAACAGGGAGGGAAGTACTATAGTGACTAAAAGTGCACCAAATTATTACTTGAAAACAAACATTTTGAGACTTCAGATTCCAGACAGTGGCAGCCCCGGAGAGCTCTGCGTGCACAGCTAGCTGTAACAGCGCCAGCATCTCCCTGCTTCAGTCAGCATTCTAAGTGCGGTGCTTGGGCCTTCTAGGAGGGGTGAGTGAAGTTCAGAAGGTCACCCCCTCCTTCCCCTTTAACATTTTTGTGCCGAACAATACCTAAACGTGACTATATGAACAGGCCTTTTCTTACTATGGGGCAGACTTCCTTTCCTATATTCCTTCTTCCTTTTTTGTGTTTTTCACTTTAATTTATATTCATGCCTATCCTTCACTGCTATAATTGCAATGAAAAAAAAAATGGTTTTGTTTGGCAGGAGGAGGGTTTGTATTATTTTAGACAAGAAGCAAACACTTGAAGAATTTTATAATCCAACACTCCGTGTCTCAAAATTTACTTTCCTGAAGGTTCCACTCGTGGCCTTCTCCAGCTCAGCTGGAGCACCTGGAACTAATTTTAGGGTTGCCTGGCTAAGCCCCACACTGGTATTTGAAGTTTGCATCCTCCCTAGACTCAAGCCCATTTCACCACCTCTGAAGGTGAGTGCAGGCTGATATTAATTAACAGTGAGTTGATTCTCTGGCATCTTCCAGTCATTAAAGTAAATATTTGGCTTAAAATAGCCTCTTCCCACCTCAAATATCCAATTTTTGGTATTCCCTTACTCCATCATGGTTGAATCACCAGTGCTTGCATGGTATATGTGGCCTAAGAACTGAGTTTGATTCTAAAAGGGAAGTGAGATGCTCTTTAACATCTGCCGGCAAGGCTGTTTAAACAGCAGTGTGGCCTTCGGTATGACTACATTGTTTTTCTGTCCATTGTGGTGCTGACTCAGCATCAGTTAGTAAATCCTCTCAAGAAGGCTGGATTTCTCTTGTTTAATTATCATCTTAGAGCTTTCTGAGAACTCTTAGGAATTGTTCATTGTTTTACACATCTGCCAACTAAAAGCCCTGTTTCCTCTTGGTGTTGGCGTCCCCTCTGGCATAATATGCAATAACAGGTCACCAGGCTGTAAGCAGAGAGTGTGTTACTTATGTCCCCTAGTGGGAATTTAATTGTTCTGTACTACAGAGATTGTGGAAGGACTTGAGACACAGAAACCATTTCCTGGCACAGAACCTTTTGCCTCCCACCCACCTCCTCCCCAAAATTCTAGAAAAGCATCCTGAAAAAGAGAAAAGAAATTTTAAAGATAAACAGACATGTTTTTATAATTGAGTTGGGATTTTGTTTCACTTGGTTTTGTTTCTTCCTGTAAACAAATACTCAGATGTCCACTTCATTGTATGACTAAGTTGGTATTATTATGTTGAGACTGGGCGTGTGTACGTGGGTGTGTGTGTGTGTGTGTGTTGGGACGTGGGTGTGTATGCACACGTGTATTTGAAATGTTAGAAAAGACATTGCAGCCTAAGGTGGAAGGAGAGACGGGATTAAAAACAACCACCTCTATGAGGCAAGCAGGAAAAGTGGGAGACTTTGTGTCAGTGATCTAAACAGTAACTGCAAAGGGGTGCCTGCTGTAAATGGACCCTTTGCATCATTGTTTCTGTGAATTAGAGGATTCCTTGCTGAAGGCACAAGACCATTGAAGGAAGTAAAGCATCTGGTTTGTTTTGTAATGAGAAGCAGGAATGCAAGGTCTACGCTCTTAATAATAAACAAACAGGACATTGTATGCCATCATCACAGGATGTCCTTCCTTCAACAAAGGACTGACTGGGGCTGGAGGAAAAGCCGGACAGGGCTCAGAATGACAGGGCTCAGAACGAGCCCCACTAATTACTGCCTCTGTCTGCCCTCCACTTGGAGTGACCAGTTCAGCGTTCCCTTTAACTGGAAAGCGATTAATGCACTACACACTTACACACTTCTCGGAAGTCTGGCTGTGGGTTGGGGGGTTGGGGGGGGGGGGGAGAAAAGGCAAAGAAATATTAATCTGTAGAATGGTAACTTTTTCCTATTTCCCTATTTACTAGATGAAAGAGGGAAGTTAGTTCTCCCAAATGTGAACACATTGTAGCAGGAGAAATGGAAGCTTACAGGGCTCTGCGTGTGTGTCTGTGTGTGTGGGTGTGTGTGTGTGTGTGTGTGTGTGTGTGTGGGTGGGTGTGTGTAAACGTGTATTTCATAGGTGATAGCTTGAGGACTAGATGGCTACATTTTGTTACATGAGATGCAAAAATAACTTCACTTGATCTTTTCAAATAAATTTTGTGTAATCTGTAACTGTGGAGTTGAACTGAGAGACTACAAACATTTTAGGTAATTTTTAGGTTTCCCTGAATTTAAGGAATGTGCGCCCCCTGAAAAAACCGCAGCAGGAAGGAGGATGGTCTGGAGTATTTAGAATACAATACAGCCCCAGTAAACGTTGAGGTTAAGTGCTTTCAAAGGGAAGCAGGAAGATTTAAAGTGAACGTTGAAATTCACACGCAAAGAGAGGAAGCTGTCGGAGGCTCGGGATCGGGGAAAGCACTGGGCTGGGCTGGGCTGCGCTGGTCCAGGTGAGGCCACGCCCCCACTTCAGGCGCTGGTGTTGAGTCAATCAGAGGAAATCTGCAGCTGGGAGGGGAGAGCAGCCGCGGCGCTGGTTTACACGGACTGAAAGTGCTGCTGTGACACTCGGCCCTCCAGTGCTGCGGAGAGGCAGAGCAGCGCGTAGCACCTGTCCGCCGCCGCCGAGAGACGGGACGCGGGCGCCGGGCGGCCGAAGATCAGCAGGGAACCGCCGAGGTGCGCGTCAGTCCCCAGCCCGCGAGGGGACGCGGAGGAAATGTGGACTGTGTAGAGATATGAGCGATATTTATCTCCGATGTTGGATATTTGCTTGGAAAAACGTGTGGGTACGACCTTGGTAAGGAACTTGATCTTTGTAAATCTGAAATTGATCTGAAAACTTTTTGGGGGGGGGGCTCGCGTAGTCACAGTAGAAACCAGAAAGGCTTCTGCTTTATGGCACTTAGGACTGTCAAACATTTATAAGACTTTTTCCTTATGAATCATTAACCCTTTCAGTTCTAGGCATAATTGTCAATTCACTGAAATTTCAGTAGTGGTTTCTGCCCGCTCCCATCAAACAAAGTAACTATACCGGGCTGGCTTAAGTTTTAAATTTTATCTTAATATTTATTTGGCAGCATGACTGTACATCTTGCAACTAAATAAAAATAAGCAGAGTATTTAAATCGTAACTGAGGGAAAGACAACTTCGCTTCTTTCTTTTTTTAAAAAAGCATCATGTTTAAGGAAGAGATTAGAAGAATGTGGAAGCCAGCCTGAAGGACTTACACAGTGTTATGTATACACTCCAAGGGGGACCCGCTCTGACATGGAAATGACCCATGTTCCTACTTTTCTTCAAACACGTTTATATGGGAAAACATCGCAGAAGTTGTTTACCTTTTTTTCTCTCTTTGAAAAACCCTTTACCTACCGGTGAGGGGAGGCTTGCGGGAATGTCCTTACCCACTTACAAGTGGAAGCAGAGCGAGTCCTCTCAGTCTTCTCTATTTGTTATAACTTTAGTTACAGTAAACTGTCTCATATCAGTGACTTCTGGGAATTTATACACTTTCAGATTTAAATGGAAAGTGCTATTTGTAGCTGAGGGCTCCTGAAGGAATTCTCTTTTGGGAATTCTATTGAACAGTTTTATGTTTTGCTTTTGCTCTTTCAATTTGGCGTGAGATGCCCACAAGTCAAAAGACACTGTGTAGTGATTTGCCCCCTCACCCATTTTTCCTTCTCTTTTCCTGTGGTCCAGACAATTTTGAAAGCTGCACCTCGATGATGCTGGCAGGATGCAATCCTTTCCAGACTTGAGAGGATGAAAGAGAGCGTGCAGCAAAGGGTGGGGGCGGGGGGGGGGCAAGTTGTTTTGAAAGTTGTTTTGCACCGGGAGCTGGTGGGAAAGTTCAGTCTTCCCCATTTGGAAAAGGCAGGCTGGGTTCCGTTCCTGCACCACACGCGCTTTCCATTTTTAGCTTCATTCACAGGCAGACAGAGCTCCTTCCTCTTCCTCTCCTTGTTTGTGACACTTTTCTGAGGCAGCTTTTCCACAGCACGGAGGGTCTGGCAGCCATGACCCCAGGCGTTCTGGGACACAGGACTGAGCGCCCACAACATTTTTCTGCCATGAGAGGTAAAGCCAGGGATTGTTCAGAGGTGATTCTTATCCCCCCTACCCCCCCAATCAAGTTGCCACATTCTTCATTTTTTTTTTTTTTTTTTTAAAACTTCGAGTAGCATTCTAAAACCCTGCTTCTTCCAGGCAATCTTTTTTATACTGCTTTTTGGCTCTTACTCAACTGTACCAAGCACTCCGCATCTGCTTTTAAACTCTTCAGACTACTGTATTAGTCATAGCCTCTCAGAGGGAGCCACAGGACAATGGGGATTAAAGGCCTTGCCCTTCTCTTCTAGGCTGCCCCGAAGTGTAGCTCCAGCGCTGTGAGGTTTCACGGGTTGGCAGAGGGGACCGAGGGGACCATGAAAATGGACATGGAGGACGCGGATATGACTCTGTGGACAGAGGCTGAGTTTGAAGAGAAGTGTACGTACATTGTGAATGATCACCCCTGGGATTCTGGAGCTGACGGAGGGACTTCGGTGCAGGCAGAGGCATCCTTACCGAGGAATCTGCTTTTCAAATATGCCACAAATAACAAAGAGGTAAGTCGTTGGTTTATTGCTGAGGAAGATGGGCCTCTGAGGCCAAATCTCTCTCCTTGTCCCTGAGGCCGCCTATGTCTGTGAGGATCTGTAAGTACCGGTCAATAATTGATCACTGACTTCACTTCTTTCATTGCTTTCTCTTTCCCCAAGTCAGTCCTGGCCCACATCCTCAGCCCTCCACTGTTCCACAGTAATTAGCAAACAGTTAAACCTTTTGGCAAGTTGACATGTCTTGGCAAAGCCCAGCTGCAGCATGGGGAAGACGGAATTGTCAGCGAGCTTGGCGAAAGCTGCTGGCCACTCGGTTTACTGGCCCTAGTCCCCCAGGTGTACAATAGCTTTTGAGGGAGAAAATTCTTTCTTAGAAAAGAGTTTTCATGTTTCTTTTGTCTTCTTTGGGTCATTAGATGGCTTTATTCTTTTTAATGAGCCAGCTTTATTGGCTGGGTTTCTAAAATTATTCTCAAAACCCTGAGGTGTTTATGAACTTGAAGTGATGGCATAAACCAAGAAGAGGGTCATGTAAAAGTGTCCTCTGTCTGGATGACTTCAGAGCTCCCCACTGTTTATCTGAGGCAGCTCCTTGGCTCTGGCTGGGCTGGCAGGCTGATTCCTACTGGCCTCTGAAGTGGGTACACTCTTTGTTGTTTCAAAGGGGCCGAAAACCCCAAGTTGGAATGAGCAAAGGATTTGTGTTTACCCTTTTATATAACGATTATAGCTAGGCGTGATGTTCAGCTATGAAACGACTTGCAGAACCGCCTCTTGTTTTGAGCGTTCAGCTACCACAGTTGATCTCACTAGTGTGCTGGGCTGAGTTGTAGGAATCGAGAGCTCAACAGACTTCCCACCACCAACATGACCACAAGTCACTGTCAGTGCTATTACTGCCTTCAGAGAGTGGTGAAAAAGGGATCCTTTGCTGTAGGGATCCATACTTTGATACTGGGACTATTCACTATAGCCATGACAAATCACTCTCTTCCTTTTCGAAGGAAAAGCATTTGAAGGATCCAGGGAGCCTGTTTGGGAAATACTTTGACTCTTTCCTGTTTGTGTCTGAGTCCAGTGCCTTTGGTAAGGGGGAGACACAGCTGTCTAAAATTAAATAGAGCAACACTACTTTGAGTTTCACTAAAAAACCACTGTATTTTACCCCCTAGGAAAATGGAGGTATTTCCCCAGGGAGAATGGAGGCAGATTTTATAAAAAGCAAAATTCAAATTGTAGCTGCATGCGAACATTACTAAAACTGTAACCCCAGAGGTCAACCTTAATTATACCTCTGTCTTCAAATAACACTCTTCTCAATAGAAAGTCTCTTAAGATGTGGCCCCTGGAATCAATGTAGGATTTGTTTGGGTGTTTAAGGTTTGGCTGTGGCTTTAAAAGGTGCAGTATGTTTTCTCCCATATCAAATTTGACCAAATATTGATCTGTTCCTGTGTTCATTTGTGCTGTATTGTCCTATGCAGCCCATTGGGACTGCAGTAAATCTCCGTTCCGTGGGTCATCTCTGTCTTTTAATTCTATAAGTGCTCTTATCCTCAGTTCAGCACAGAGCTTAAGTTTTTCCATTTTCCTCATTTGACTTAAAATCATATAGCTAAATTTAGTACTGCCCTTAAGTCGTGCAGTCCAAGGTTCAGAAAGATGGTCACTTATCCAAGGGGTGAGTTAAAACCAGAGCCGAGACTCGCAGGGAGCAAAGTCCTGCTGACTTCCCCAGCCGGTGCTTCTTGATTATGCTACACTGGCCCCTCTTGGTGTCACTGTGGTTTTATTTATAGTCTGAACATACTTCAGACCGATCCTCTCTCAAGCTTGTTTAGTTCTTTTTTTCTCTGAACATGTAACTCCCTATTTCAGTATATTCAGCACACAAAAAACATGCGGTGCCTGGCTTCCTTAAGAGGGTCCTTCAGAACTAAACTAAGAAAGAGATCAGGGTTCTCTTGTTCTATTTTCCCATGTTTTATTCAACTGAAACACTTGACTAAAACAGTACATCTTCAGTTCCTAATCTTAAATGTAACCAGGAAACCGACCTAAATGTAGTACCTGTCTGAGGCTTATTCTGGAATTGGTACCCGTTTTTCTGTCTCTCCCTTCCTTTCCAAACTCTGGGAGCAAGTGCGCCCTTGAGGTGGTGAAAGAGGGCTGTGGACTTGGGCCCCTGAGGATGCGATTGCTGCGACCCGGCGCTCACGCAGAGGCCTTTAGGGTTGATGAGCTGTTTACATTATCAGTATTCAGTTAGTCCCACACGCTGTGGAAACAGGGGGGGAAAAAAAAAAGCTTTTCTACATGTAGTTTTTATCTGACTGATTTAACTTGTCCTTCTTTAAATGTTTTCATTTAAGTAGCAGAAGATGTTACATTCTGTACTGTTGTGCTGACATACTTGGGGATTTTTTTAACAAGACCATTTTTCATTATGAATTTGTGCTATGTGTCAGCACCTTTTTTTTTTCTTTTGGTTTAAAAACAAAACATACAAACCATATTTCTGATCTTGACCCTCATTTTTAGATTTGGTTTAGAATCATTCTGCACCTTTAATGAGACTGTTCTTACTTCCTATTTCCAGAGCTCAAACCAAATATAGATGTACTATTCAAAACTTTTAAAACTTTTAAACTGATGCATTATTCTTTTAGGGGGATTTTCCCCTTGTCCTCCTGAAATAATTTTCTATGAATATTTGAATACAGAAAGATCCTTTTCAACATTTATACTCTAGAAGCGGGAGCCTGAACTGCGGTCGCTTGCACTCGAGCTGCGCCGCGGCTCTGAGCCTGGCCTCCCGAAGTTGTGGGATGACAAACCTCAGGCGGATGGGGGGGACTCGCTCAGGGTCCACTTTGATGGAAGTCCATTATTAACTCAAGCCATCTGTAAAAAGTATCTTGCTACAATATGTTGTTCCCTTTTCTTTCTGCTCCCTTTTATTTGTGAGACAATGCACTGAGGAATTACCACATTTCCTTTAATATAAAGATAATTAAGGAGGAAACCTTCCAAAAACATCTCCATTCACTCCACCCCTTTTTAAAAAATGGGGTGCATTACAAGCTAAAGTCTTGGTCCATGACAGAGTTCTAGTCATCTCAGTGCAGATAATCCTTATAATTGTAATCGAATGAGGCATTTTATGGGGGGGGGGGGGCAGAAAGAGATAGCTAGTAATTAAAATGATATTAATGTAATCTGGGGCGAGGGTGCTCATAGTCACATTTAGACCTGAATGATGTTCCTGGTTCAAACTCACCTCTTTGTGGGTGTCTGAATACTCCCTAAAGGAGGAATTTTCTTTAATAAACAAATGAACAAAGAACTTATATTCTCTTTGCTATTAGATTTTTATTTTGCACCCCCCCCCCATTGATCCCAAGTTGTAAAATCTTCATTGTTTCTAGAAACCACAGACCTCAAGGCATATTTTGTAAATGAGACCACTGACAGAGACAGATCTGCCCATGTGGTGGAGGGGTCGGCTCTGCACATAACCATGACATTTAAGAGCTTCTGGGGGATAAGAAGTGTGGAGGCCACCGTCCTCTTGCTGATAAGTTTATAGAAGGCACACAGCAGCCTGTCCCCAGCAGAAATTCTTTAGGACCCTGGTCAGTTCCAGTGAAGTTTCCTCCCTGAGCTAGGTGAACACGTTCTTAGTCTTTTTAGTGCTGTGAAATCCAAGGCACACACTAGGTTCCTCTGTATTGTGAGCTTGCTCCTAGGATAGATCATTGTTGGCTAAGATTCACATCTGACTGCATCTCCCTAGGGCCAGAGGGAAAAGTGTGACCTGGTCTTCCACCTCCCATTTTTAAAAAAACTCTGGTTCCTACTTCCCTTCACAGCTACCTGGATGAGCACCGTCACCTTAGAGTTGCAGCTCTTCTGTCCTCCTGAATAATGTCTCAGACATGGATTTGAGATGAAGGTGTTTATTGTGCATTAGAGTACTGGACTGGAAATGGATATAGATCATCTTAGATACATGATTTCTTCCCACTGCAAAATTCTATGATTTTGTGTCTATTTTTCCATATGTATGAGTTTATATGTATCCTATAGCTTTGTGTATAATAAGAAATTAAAATATTAAGGTTCCGCTCCACTTCTAAAGATAATCTAATATTGAGGTTCTTTTATTTGGGGCTTAAGGATTTTCATTGATCTCTCTTTGACCACACTCCTCTTGCTAGTTGTTCTCTCTTGCCCACTGTATTGCATTTGTAAGATTATCAATGGGAAGGGTTACATCCAATAGTGCCCTAGAGCTTCCCCAGTGATTTGCCCATGTTGCTCAAATAGGTGTTTGGTGACTTATGCCTCCTGCAAATTTCTAGCTGACTTTTGGCCGTAATAAAATGTTGTGTGTTCTTCTAATGTAAGATTGGTAGCTGAAAACCAAGAGACCTGTGGTTAAAAGAATGGGAATCGGAAGAAAAAAACCTGACCTCAATGTAATGCTACCTGTTGGTAGTCAGGCTCTGACTCCTAAGACACTGTCTGCAAGACACTATAATTTAAAACAAAAGTTGATGAACCAGTTGAGTACCTTTCCTAAAATTACTGCTTTAAAGTGGATATGTTGAAAATATCAACTGCTAATTATTGGCTCACCAACAAATGTCATTATTTGTTTTTCCTGTTTGTCATTTTAATATTATAGAATAATCACTCAAATATGAATGCCAAATGATTTGCGTGCCATAGAAGTCAATTCCATGAATTTTTCAAATTAGTGAGGTTCAGTAACGTATCATAAACAATGAGCCTCTGAATAAGTCTACTTAAGCTTTAGTATGTATTTTTATCTCTGGACTGTTCTGAGGTACTGCTGTCCCACTAACTGTACTGCCAACAAATACCAATAATGACAAAGTGTTATTGAAAGGGCAGATAGATGTAAATGAAGGCAGAGGAAGAGGATGAAATGAACATCTGCTTTTTTCACCTGTCTGCCAGAAATTCATAAAAGACCAAAAATAACACTCTAGTTCACCAACTTTGTTTCAACTTGTGTTAGATGTAGAAGAGAAATTTTTTTTGTCTTTTCAGTATGGATATGTTCCACTGGCTTGTATATTGAGTAATAAATTGTTTTTTAAAAATTATTGGCTGTTAAGAAACATATATGAGAAAGACTAGTCTATCCCTACCTTATAGGTATGCTTATTCTATATGCATTTAAACAGGTTTGAATTCTTGATGTAATTTAATGAAATGTCAGTGCATATCATAACCAAAATTATATATTCCACTGTGAACACTTATTGATTTATATATTTAGGCCTACCATTTCAGGTACACAATTACATAGAACCACCAGATAAAAATTGGAAATAAATATTGTCTTTATCTACTGTTTTGGTCCATTTCAATATGGCATTTAGTAACTAATTTGTAGGCTCTTTTGCATGAGAAGAAAATAAAAAATGGAAAAGTGAGTGAATAAAAAACAAAACAAAACTGTAACTGGCAAAATATACTGGACTACTTACAGAAGAGTTTTTTGAATAGTGATGAATTACTTCCTGATTCGTGGTTGGTGATTTTTTTTTTCACCCCCTGTTAAAGAAATTTACGATCAAGGAGGAACTGGCATGCTTAACATGTTTCTTAAGTAAGGCCCTCCAAAGTCAGAATGTGTGATACATCCAGTGTGAGAAGGTCATTTCCTTAGATCTTAGAACCCACAGGTCTCAGAACCCACAACTTTCTTCAGTATAAATTCCATTTCAAAGGAAGACTTTTGACCACTGTTAAGTAGAAGATGCTAGAGAAGAACAAAGTCAACTGAAAGATCATGCCTCTTATAAAGAGCTTGTGAGTTATAAAGAGAACTTACAAGCTATGAAGAAGAAAAAAACTCATCTGGGTTGAAAAAAATAGAATGTGTTTGGTTTTTGGTTCCTTAGGCCTTTGTGGAAAAACCAAAGAGCATTATTTTGGTTTCTGAGGTTAAAATTATTTTATTTCCCTCAAGTACACTGTGTTTATGGTTTGAGGGAGAATGAGAAATAGGAAACTAGGAGGAGGCTGAAACGGTTTAACCTTGGCCATTTAATTCTGCAGTTTCTAATTCCTTATTCTAAAACAGAATGGTTACCCTCTATTCTTTTAGCATAAAAAGCAATTATAAATATAAAGGACCCTCAGTCACTGGAGGATAAGCCTCTAGACTATTTCAATGCTTGGTTGAGTATTTGGTAAAGATCTCGGAGTTTTTAAATGGTCTTTCCCTAAGGTGAAGCCTATCGTAAATTACCTAGGCACTGTATCATAATTTCATCATTGTTAGTTGCATTACCACTTGACAAATCAATTCATTGACATCAAACTGTTGGTTAATATTTTGCAGTTGAAGTAATTGTTTCATATGTTTTTACCTCCTTTAGGTTATTGGAGTGGTGAGTAAAGAATACATACCAAAGGGAACACGTTTTGGACCTCTAATAGGTGAAATCTACACAAATGATACCGTTCCCAAGAATGCCAACAGGAAATATTTTTGGCGGGTAAGTATGGAAGATTTTTCCAGATTCATTAAGAAAAAAAATGGAGCTAGAATTGTTGGGTCACTTCCTTTTTCAACTTGTACTGGGCCTCACCACAAGTATTCGGGGTCCCCATGGACACAGCAGATTCCAAGCAAGTATGATGAAACTAGCTAGACCTTTGGCCCTGGAAACACAACCTGTATGTGGTTAGGGATGGAGATAGGGACTATATGTGAATCTTAATTTTTGCAATTCATTGGGCTTTGTGATGAAAGGAAACAGTTTGTTACTTGCCTCAAGGGTAGGCTCATTTGCATTTCTCTGCAAGGAAGTAGTAATGAGTCACCAAGCCTTAGATTTCGCCTCATCTTGATTTTTAGCTGAGTTAACTTTAATTGAATGGAAGAAAAATCATAAATGAATTATCTCGAAAATAAGTGCCACTCAAGAAGGGTAGGTAGAAGGTAGCACTCGGGGGATGGAAATGGACCTCAGGCCCAGTGCTCCTGAAATTTGCAGCGTAAAACTATAGGGTGTGACAGCATGTAGATTCCATCCAAAACATCAGCAAAATGCTTACAGTCATGCACGATGATAAAGTGTCCTATAACATCCAGTCAAAGAGCCCGGCTAATACAATTTCCTTTGGAATATCAGGGTTAGAGAAGACCTCAGAGTTGAACTAATTAGGTGGAATCCTTGAGCAAAAAACCCTGAATTAGAAATCAACAGAGAAAAGAAAATCAGACTGCTTTCCCTCTTCCCTCAGCTCTCCTGGCATATTTAGTTTCCTCAATTAGATAATAAAGATACACTTACAAAATTCAACAGTAATTTTTTTACACATACTTTTATGAAAAGTACACAACGATTGGGGAATCATCGTTTGAGTTCTTTTCAGAAACAGCTGCATGGTAACAAAAAAATTGGGTAATACTTACTTTGGCCAGTATTTACCTAGAATGCTTATAACTTTTGAACAAGTATCTTGATAAAAGACATACCTGGGGGTCATTCAGAAGCTCTTCCTAAGAAATAAGGTTTTTTTTCAAAGCCAAGAAGGTTTTTGTTTTTAGAAATGTGTTCTATTTTGCAAGCAAAAGTCAGCTCTGAGAATTGTGTGCACAACAATTTTTATTTAATAACTTTCTCAGGCTTAAAATACATGACTTATAATGGGAAAAATGTGAGTGCATTTTTGCCTTTATTGCCATAAAATCTCAGAAGTGAGTGCCCATAGAGGTGTGTGTTCTTGGAGTCGCAGGTCTGAATTAAGTCACTCTCGTATAAGTCCCTTTAATGCCTGGTCATTTTGACAAAGGCAAGAAGTACCTAAGAACCACCTATCTCTATCCCAGTTCCCTGATTCATGAAAGATTCACCATAAGTAACTGAAACGCTGTCTTTGGGAGGATTTATTTGAATCAGTCTTTTACATGCAAAGGACATTGTAGGAGATAACTTCCCACATGTTGTTAAAAGCATCCTGATTTTGCTGGCAGGAATATGAACATCTGTTGTGAGTAAAGAAAAAGTTTCATGCAAATTACACAGTCAAAGAAGAGAAGGGATGTTCAAGTTGAGAAACCAGTGACATTTCTTGTAACTACTATGAGTCAGCACGTTTTTAATCTTCTTGATAATATATGGAAATGTAGCAAGGTGAGAGGGAGCAGTGTTCATTTGACGTATGCATTATTTTATTTTCTTGTGGGTGTGTGTGTGAGAGAGAGAGTGTGTGACTTCATGGCATCGATATTTCTGTTTTTAAATGAGGATACAGTAAATTGTAGTCTGAGGAAGGCTGACTGGAATCAACATCCCCGTAGCTTTAGAAAGCAGTTTCCGCCCAACGAAGAGTGCAAGAGCGATGGAACCCCATGTTCCTGGAAGTTTGCACATCAGAGTAAACAAACTTGAAAACCCCTCTTCATAGCAAATTCACCCAGCCTTGTTCCATTTTCTCTTAACAAAACACACCGCAAAAGCTCTCACATGCTGCTTTGATGAAGCCACATGTATTTCCCCCTTCACAATTTACAGGAAGTTACTCTTAAAAGAAAGTGATTCTGGTGTTTACTGCCTGTGTTAAAGGGACAGAGTTCCTTTTTGTCTCTGATAACATTTGATTGAAATACAGAATCAATTTATAGTCTAGCATAGTATGGGACTAAGAACAAAGCAATAAGCTGCTCTCCGGTTACAGCAAAACTTCTGCTCCGAGCCATGCCTCACTGCATGGAGAATACAAGTTGCAGATTGCCAGGTATTGATAGTATACGTATTAGGAACTTTCTTAGGTCTGAAGAAAAGGTGGCACATCTTAAAAAGAGGCAGAGAGAGAAACTTCCCGTGGAAGGGCAAGGAGATTGTTTATGAAGTAGTTTCAGTAAGAATGTAAATTTTAATTTGTTCCTGTTCTTACCTCTGCCTTTTCTCCCAAGTGGACTGAGTGCATCTGTTAACCAGAAGTAGTGTTACTGTAAGGCAAACTTTGAATTCTTCATTATGTGTTGCCTTTAAAGGACCACATAGTGTCTTCCTGTTCTTTTTCCAAAAACACATGCCTATGGCTCTGAGAGCAGTGTTTCAGCCAATCTCTTCCCAGATAAGAGGGTTCCCTCTCCCCTCCTTTGGCAAGGCTGAACATGTTTATCAAGAGGAAAAGTGACTCCTCAGTAGATTGTCAAATTCTGGCTTCTGTCCCGGTGTTCACTTTGTTATGGCAGGTGAAGTTCACCTTTGCCCCACCCAGTGCTTCCACCAAAAGGCAAGGTTCCAAGTATTCATATGAACAAGTGTTACTTCTGGACTCAGAGGCTTGGGGGTGGAGGATGTTTGCATAGCTTAAGCCTTGGGCGGGGGTGTAGGAAATGGCAAGTACAGAGGCCATAGAAAAAGTTGAGAGACTCAGTTTGACGTATTCACTCGGCTTGGTCTTCTACTCAAGTGACTCAAAGCATTAAAAGTCAGCATAATCAGAACTCAAGTTAGTAAGCATCACGCCTTTGCCATTCGCTGCTGTAGCAAAAGTAGAGCCCTGGTGGTTTGATTCGTCTGAGGCAGCTAGCTCCGTAAACGAAATTTTGTGTTTCATTCTTCTGTTATCTTTCCCACATGAAAAGATGATAAAAACTGAAATGGAAAGGTAACTGACAAAGTGTGCCTTACCTGTTTCCGCCCTTATTTCTGCTGATTCAGGACTACTCTGGCCAGACCGATTTGATTCTTTTTCTGGCTAGCAATAGGGGGCCTGAGATCACACATGGTGCTTGCTGTGTAGAGGTGCTGGTGGCTGACTTTCTTCAACCTGCCTGTCTTCTCTTTTGAACAGATCTATTCCAGAGGGGAGCTTCACCACTTCATTGATGGCTTTAATGAGGAGAAGAGCAACTGGATGCGCTATGTGAATCCGGCGCACTCTGCCCGGGAGCAAAACCTGGCTGCGTGTCAGAACGGGATGAACATCTACTTCTATACCATTAAGCCCATTCCTGCCAACCAGGAGCTTCTTGTGTGGTATTGTCGGGACTTTGCAGAAAGGCTTCACTACCCTTACCCTGGAGAGCTGACAATGGTGAATCTCAGTAAGTGGATTACAGAACAAAAAAATTATAAATGCCAGTCGTGTCAGTTCTGCCCCTATGAGCTAATAACATGTTGTTTAATTATATGGCTTCACCTGTTGGGCCAAGTAGGTGGCTTAAACTAGGCACTAAGAAATAGGGGAAAAATTTTAGTGCCTACTTCCTAGTATAAAACTTAATCATTTAAAAAATAGTAAGAGCTATTTTGAGAGTTCAACTCAGAAAGCCAAGAAGAAATATATGTCCAATTCCAATCTATCCAAAAAGGGGCAGGTAGGAGTAAAGTAGAGGTTGGTCCTGACACACTGAGTTTGCAAGGTCCTGCACCCCTTGTTAGTGATATTTGTTGGTGCTTAAAATGGTGCACTGAAATCTTGTAGAGATGCACATTTGGTTACTAAGTTATGGTCTGATGTGGAACATATGAGGCTGATTCTAGAAAAACTTGCAGCTGTAATTTTTCAAATGTTATTCTAAATGAATGACAAGATTTTATATCTTGGCTTCCTTCCTTTGTCACCTGATCAGTATCATAGTAGCCACCTATCAGTTTATCTTAACAAATTCTTAATTCCTGAAGTTTATAAGCTTTTACTTTCTTATGTGGTTCAAGTTGCTGTCATTATGTCTCTGCAAAGAGCTACTTCATTTTGGTCACTCTGAGGTGACCTCTACGAATGATTTAAAAATTACTGTAAAATTCCAACCTGTTGCAACTATGGATGTATGTTCTCAGTTACACTGCTAAGGAATAAAGCATTTTTTAAAAATTAAACTTAAATTTTTAAAGTAAAATTTTAAAACTTTTGGTTTAAAAGTTTCAGCATCTAAATGCTGACATTTTTGTAACTTTTGGTTTTGAAATCATTTCAAACTTAAGGAGAAGTTGCAAGAATAGTACAAAGAATTCCTAGGTGACCTTTACTCAGGTTCATCAACTTGTTTTCCCATTTTCTTTATCTGAAGGCCAAAGTGTTTTAGTTAACACTTTTGTCTTTGAGACTTTTGGAATGAATGTTAATATTAACATGAATTAGAATTTTGACTTCAACTCTAGGACCAGTCAACAAACTAGTAATTTATCTTAGTCAGGTATAATTCAGCTCTACAGCTATTCGGTGTTCATCCCACAGTGTCTACTGATCTCCCTATGATCTCAAGACTATATTAGTAGTTTTCTGAAAACCAAGGACTATACAAGATTAAGGATCTCCCCTATACGATCACATTTTAGATTTGTGTTTGTGGTCCACACACACACATGCCCACACATGTATACACAGTGCACCCATGAGCTTCATGAAGAAGGCTTAACATGTGCGGAAATAAACTGGCTTCCAACATGAGCATGATGGGTGTAGTCAGGTCCTGGACAGCCTTTTCCCTTATCTCTCTTCACTGCTTCCAGGAATCTCTGTCATGTCCCTGGTGCCAAGCATCCCAAGAACCATTTGGCTGTTTCACCACCTGTTTGTGCCGAGTCTAGTGCTCAGGGCCTGGTGGCAAAAGACAACTTACATTCCGGCAGGTGTCTCATAGGGAGAGAAGCTGCTTCTCCTAAGTTTCTCAGCATGGCAGGTCCCTTCCTCTGGAGGGTCTCCTTCCAGTCCTTGAGCTTAATCATTCATGAATTCAGAGAAAGACTCTGATTTCTTCTTTTAAACAGTAACTCCATTTAAGATGATGCACCCCAGTGACTTTGCACCAACAAGAAAAAAGCTTTTCTGTATATGTCCCTCAGTCTCTTCCAGTCAAAGAGAGACTTTAATGGTCTTGTGTTTTTATTCCCCAATGAGAAGCTTTGGACAATGTTTTCAGATTCAAGTGCTTATCCTTTGTGTTCAGAAGCAACATTCTTGTATACTATGAAAGGACACCTTTCTTCCCGCAAATATCCCTTTTTGTTTATGCAGAATTTTTTTCTAAATGGTGGTTTAACATTTCCAAGTACCCTTTCATTGTCCAGTAATCATAGTAAAGAATGAGGGTTAACAATACGAGTCACATTAAGCCAAGACTCCTACTGCCAATTGTGAAACCAGTTGTCTTAGGTGTGGTAACTGATGATTGAGACTCTGATCAGGAAAATTTCCACTATTTCATCAGGCCTAACAGGTAGATTGTGTTGGCAAGTGAGCTGTGCTGGGTTTCCATGCTTCAAGCACAGTAAAGCTCTGAGCCAGAACCTCCATGAGGGCTCTCAGCGGCGCTGATGGTTCAGCCGGTAGAGTGTTGAGAGATTTGAAGCAAACTGAGGTAAAGGAACATAAGTAGCTAGAAATCACAAGTGGGCATTTTTTAAAAACAAAAGGAACATAAGTAGCCAGAAATCACAAATGGGCATTTTTTAAAAAACGAAAAGTATTAACTCCTACCTCTCCCAAGGTTTTTCTGGTATTTTTCTCTATCTACCTAACTAATCCATCTAGAAAACAGTTGACCAAAGTATAGACTTCTAAATGTTAATCTGCTTTCTCAGTTTCAGTTGAAAACAGACTTTGTTTTGCCTACTGCAGAACTTCTAGGTTCTTTCTTGTAGTCGTGAGGATTCTTATTATAGATCGAAAATGTGAGTCGGCATAATTAAGCCATTCAGAGCCTTCAGAAGCAGTTCACTCTTGAAATGACTCTGTCCGCCTACAGCCATTTAAGATTTAAGAACAAAAACAGATCTTGATTTTCTTTTTCATGTTAACTCAAACTGCTGCTGAGTGGGAGAGTCAGAAATGACACCAGCTCCACTGATTACTCAGCTGCTCAAGGATGATTTTCTAAAATGTACCTTCATGTGGACTGCATGATTTCTCCCTTAGAACATCTTAGGAGGGGCTCACACTTTCCTCTAGATAGTGTGTTGGAATAAAATGTAAATTTGTTTTTGCAAAGTCATAAGAGATAACAAATACTCATTGTGGATTTACTTTGTGCTGGCCACTGTGCTAAGTATTTTGCATAGAAAATGATGAATTCTGACTTTCTTGTTTGTCCGCCCAATCTTTAGCTTTATTTCAGTTCAGTAATCGAATTATTGGGGCCCTTAGTAAGAACACCTAACTAACTAGGAGGAACAGTGCTATGAATGGTCTGAAACTTCTTGCTGACGGCTTTAATTTGTTGAATTTTAGATTAAGGAAGTATGAAAGCCACTGGAAAAATTAAGAGACGTAGATGTAATTTGCCGGGTAAAAATGGCAGAGAGTTATGATGGTGAAGGGTCTCTATTTTCATTTTATTAGGGTAACATCTTTTCTTTTTTAATGTGGGCCGATGTGGACGCTTCTGAATCCTTCTTTCTCACCCTCCATAAAATTCCTTCCTGTGGCTGGGAAATGGATGTCTTGCCTGTCAGTTTTCCACCTTACTTGTCTCTCTTCCTTTACCATTTCAGCTTTAAAAAACAAAAGTGACAATTTGAACTTCCTGCCTCCTGGGACTCACTGAAAGACTGATATTGGCCTGATAAGGGGATATTTATTTTGGTTTAGTGGCTTCAGAAATCCTTCTCCCTCAACAAGCTTTCCATCACTGCCCCCATCAGCATCTTCCCTGATAGTGTCTCCGCTGTGTTTATTCTGGGGCTGCCGGCTCAGCCAGAGGAACTGATAACAGCTGGCAGCAGATAACATTCTCCGAGGGGCTCTCAAACTGGAATCGAATCCCTCCAGCCTGTCAGCCTAGAGAATGGATTTGAAGAGCTCAGGATCTGGAGCTCCACAGGGTTCATTTCTAGACCTATCGGATATCAAGTCTGGAGTTCTTTCTCAGTTAAATCAAACAGGGAGTTTTGTTGTTTTGTGTTTTTTTTTTTAAGATGACAAATGATAGTATTACAGAGGCTTCAGCCTCATCCCCCCCGAACCTCTCCTAATGCCGAGGCTGTCCTGCCTCTGCTGGTGTCCACATTCGCAACAACGGCTGCTGCCTTCCACCGACGCCTACTGCTAGGGCAGGTGTTCACGTCCGAGTGATTGCTCTCCAATAGCCTGAGCTCCGACTAAGCACAGTGTATGTTTTCCTTTTGATTCCAAGGAAGGCTGAGCAGGGAGTTTTTGGTTTTCCCTCCTCTGACTGGTGTTTTTCTGAAGGCATCGTTTGTTCTGTGTGTTTGGAGGGGCAGGGCTGGCGATGGCCCGGAGCGTCTGGAAATGTCCTCGCTGCTGCTGTTCCTGAATAGTATATTTACCAAGTAATAATATGCCGTCTTTTGGAATAAATGCTTTCATCTTAGCTGTCTGTTTTCTTTGGTGCTTTAAGTAATTGAACTGGCTCGAGAAGGGCCTGTTGTGGTTTGGCAGAGAGACTGGGTCATGCCTTGTGATTCCAAGGACAGCATTGCTGGGAGCCTGGTTAGACCAGCAAAGCCTTGATGAAATACTTGTGTTGTCAGCAAATTGAGGGAAAGGGGCGGCATCTACGTTTCTAATCTGTCTATTAGGCATAGGCAGTTTAAACAGGGTTTTATCAAATTCGCATTAAACAGGAATGAAGGCAAAAAATGATGACTGCTTATTACTTGAAATGAATCTTAATCTTTCACATCTAGTTTGCAGGGTGTGCTGATTTCCTCAGAATGACATTTTTTAAGCTATGACACCCCACCCCACCCCGTGTTTTTCCACCCCATTTTAATGGAAGCTCTCCTGTTCTAGCTTGAACAGCACTTTTCCATCACACGGTTTTGGTTTTTTTCGTTTTTTGTGTTTTTGTGTTTTTTTGGTTTTTTTTTTTTTTGCTAGTGGAAACAAAATAATCCAAACCATACTGTTCACTCAATCAATGCGGCCCTGGCCTGTTTTGCTGAGAAGGAAATGGAGCAGTTTTGAGTGAGTGGCCCCGAGCCCTCTCAATTGAGAAGGCGTTGAGAAAGCAGGTGTCTCTCGCTTGTGGCCAGCTGCTGCTCAGGTTTTGTCAAGGAGAGGACGCTTTGGCAATTTCACTTCAGTTCTCTGTACCCCTCTGAGTAATCGTCCTTTCTTCTTGCTTTCAGCACAAACACAGAGCCATCCAAAGCAGCAGAGCACCGAGAAAAATGACCTTTGCCCAAAGAATGGTCCCAAGTACACCGTGAAAGAAATCCTAAAATTGGACTCCAACCCCTCCAAAGGAAAGGACTTCTACCGTTCGAACATTTCACCCCTCACTTCAGAAAAGGATGCTGACAACTTCAGAAAAAATGGGAGCCCTGACATGCCCTTCTACCCTCGGGTTGTGTACCCGATCCGGGCCCCTCTACCAGAAGACTTTTTGAAAGCTTCCCTGGCCTATGGGATGGAGAGGCCGACGTACATCACTCACTCCCCTCTTCCCTCCTCCACAACGCCCAGTCCCTCTGCGAGAAGCAGCCCCGACCAAAGCCTCAAAAGCGCCAGCCCTCACAGCAGCCCAGGGAACACCATGTCGCCTCTGGCTCCTGGCTCTCAAGAACATCGAGACTCTTACCCCTACTTGAATGCGCCCTATGGCACCGAAGGTCTGGGTTCTTACCCTGGATATGCGCCTCCCCACCACCTGCCACCAGCCTTCATCCCCTCCTACAATGCTCACTACCCCAAGTTCCTTCTACCCCCCTATGGCATGAATTGTAACGGCCTGAGCACCATGGGCAGCATCAACGGCATCAACAACTTCGGCCTCTTCCCCCGGTTATACCCTGTCTACGGTAACCTCCTCAGCGGGGGCAACCTGCCTCACCCCATGCTCAACCCGGCCACTCTCCCGAGCTCGCTGCCCTCGGAAGGAGCTCGCAGGTTGCTTCAGCCCGAACATCCCAGAGAGGTGCTGGTCCCAGCACCCCACAGTGCCTTCTCCCTCACCGGGGTCGCCCCCAGCATGAAGGACAAGGTGTGCAGCCCCACCAGCGGGTCGCCCACTGCGGGCACGGCTGCCACCGCAGAACACGTGGTGCAGCCCAAAGCTACCTCAGCAGTGACAGCAGCCCCCGGCAGTGACGAAGCCATGAGTCTCATAAAAAACAAGAGAAACATGACTGGCTACAAGACACTTCCCTACCCCCTGAAGAAGCAGAATGGCAAGATTAAGTATGAATGCAACGTCTGCTCCAAGACTTTTGGCCAGCTCTCAAATCTGAAGGTAAGCCACGAAGCAGAGCAGCCCAAAAGTCTGCTAGTGTCTGTCCCCCTGAGCGCACATGCATGTTTGTGTGCAGCTCGCTTTCCACGGGTTATAAATTTCATTTTCAATAGTGTGTGATCCGGGCTGGGAATAGTTGATGTGGGTTTGACTTTGCTTTTGCCTCTCTGGCCGTGTGGCTTTGGACAAGTTACTTCCCCTCGCCTGAGCTTCTTCTGAGTAATATGAACATGGGGTTTGGGCTGGAAGATCAGTTGAAAGTCCCTGCTGGCCTGTGACTTTTTTTCTTCAGTGCAAACAAAACAAAGTGTTCTGAAAACCTCAGGGCTTTATTTGTTCTGTTTAAGACTTTATCTTGATGCTTCTCTTAAGATCTTTGCATCATAAACGCCCGAGTCCTTGAGCAGAAATGTTAGGTCTTCCAGACAACTGAGAACAGAGCTAACACATGTGGCTTCTTCCCAGGTCCACCTGAGAGTGCACAGTGGAGAACGGCCTTTCAAATGCCAGACTTGCAACAAAGGCTTTACTCAGCTCGCCCACCTGCAGAAACACTACCTGGTACACACGGGAGAAAAGCCACATGAATGCCAGGTGGGCAGTGTTTGGGGGTAGAACTTTTGACCTTTGTAGGAAATGTCTGAGGGCTGCTCTCCCTGAGGCCTCTAGTCCAGAGAGATTAGACTTCACGAGAACTCTGCCTGGCCCCGGGCTGCTGGCCCTGTCCCTGCTGTGAGCTAAGGCGATGGCTCAGCCGGCTTCAGTGGGTGGAAAATGGTAGGGGAAATAAACACCACCTCGTGCGCAGGGTGGCCACATCGCCCTGTTTGCCTAATGCCACACCATAGGTGCCACAGGGAGGCTGCTCACCTCCCAGGTTGCCAGGCGTCGGCTTGTAAGCGTGCCCTTCCCACCAGCAACTCTTAACCTCCTGGTCTCCCCCTCTCCCTCCCTGCCCGCTTCCCCACCCTGCAGGTTTGCCACAAGCGATTCAGCAGCACCAGCAATCTCAAGACCCACCTGAGACTCCACTCAGGAGAGAAACCTTACCAGTGCAAGGTGTGCCCTGCCAAGTTCACCCAGTTTGTGCACCTGAAACTCCACAAGCGCCTACACACCCGGGAGCGGCCCCACAAGTGTGCCCATTGCCACAAGAGCTACATCCATCTCTGCAGCCTCAAGGTCCACCTGAAGGGGAACTGTCCCGTGGCCCCAACCACAGGGCTGCCTTTGGAGGACCTGACCCGAATCAACGAAGAAATCGAGAAGTTTGACATCAGTGACAATGCTGACCGGCTGGAGGACATGGAGGACAACATCGATGTGACCTCTGTGGTAGAGAAGGAAATTCTGGCCGTGGTCAGGAAGGAGAAAGAAGAAACTGGCCTGAAAGTGTCTTTGCAAAGAAACCTGGGGAATGGACTCCTCTCAGGGTGTAACCTTTATGAGTCATCAGACCCGTCCCTCATGAAGTTGCCTCACAGCAACCCACTACCTCTGGGACCTGTCAAGGTCAAACAAGAAACAGTTGAACCAGTGGATCCTTAAGATTTTCAGAAAGCAATAAGTGTTTTGTTTTTGTTTCTTAACTTATGACTTGGCAAGTCAGGGTGCCTGTAGCAAATTATTTGTACATATATCCAGTTCTGCAAAGCTCTCCTGACAGCAGGTGGTTTCCCTGCATCTCTCTGGAATTAAAGAAGGAACTCCAAAGTTACTGAAATCTCAGGGCATAAATGAGGCAAAGACAGTATGTATACATATTATATATACCCCCATCTATATATTTGAACCTGTGTTGTGAATATGTTTGCATAGCCTTCCCATTGCTAAGACTATTGCCTAGCCATAATTATTTTTTCAATGATAATCCTTCGTAATTTATTATACAATTTATCATTCAAAAAGCAATAATTAAAAACGTTTACAATGACTGGAAACAATTCCTTGTAATTTGAGTATAAATGTTATATTTTTGTCTTGTGGCCATTCTTTGTAGACAATTTTTCTGCACATCTGTTTAAGTACCTAAGATTCAGTAAACAAATATGTTATTTTAGTCAACCTCTCTCTGTAATAATGGTTTGAAAATGAGGTTTTGGTATTGCCAAAGTTATACAGTTGATGTGTTATTTCATAGGATCATATTATTTGAACAGCATTTGTATAACTTGGGGGTATGTGTGCAGAATTACCCAGTAATAACTTCAGTAGAATAAACAAGAAAGGGAATCATGTATGTTTCTGTAGATAGTTCAGTTACTTTCCCCTAGCCACAGATTTACTAGAAAGGTGACAAGACTTTGCCAACCTGTCTCCCTCTCTGAAAAGCAGGGTCACCCTACCCCCAAAGTCATGTTACCGTTCAGAGTGGCCACGTGACTTTTGCATCCCACCTTATTATCAGAAAATGTGAAGAAGACAAAATGCCATATTTAAAACCACTGCAAAACCTTCCTAAAGCACAGATGGTTTTGTGTGTATGAGGTTTGGGGGCTTGAGTCTGGGTGATGTTTTTATTGTTGGGGTTTTATTGTTATGTCAAAATTGTACAAACACGGTGCTCTACCAGGAAGGATTTGAGGTAGAAAGGCTCAGGCCACATTTTAAAACCAAAAACCAAAAACAAAAACGGGTATCCTCGTTGTTTTGGGGTAAAAGCGGGTAATGAGCATTCCTGTCCCCAACACATCAATTGTATTCTTTCTGTAAAACTCAGATTGTCCTCAGTATTTGTGTTTTTACATTTTATGGTTAATTTAATTGAAGATGAAAGGGCATTGCAAAGTTGTTGAACAACAATTACCTCATTGAGTGTGTCCAGTAGAGCAGGAAATGATGTTTCATCTAATGATTTGCTACTCTAGATGAAACGAAGTGTGCTCCAGAAGGATAGAACCAGTGCCATTCTATCTTTTCCTCTGCTCAGCCCAAAGATTCCATATTGGCATTCAAGGTGTAGCGAAGAATGATGTATATTTATAAATCTATTTATACCACTGTACCATGTGTATATATAATATATTTATAACCACTTAAATTGTGAACCAATCCATGTTTTAAAAAAACCCACTTTTCCTAAGGGCAAAAAAAAGAAAAAAAAAAAGCAAAACCCTTTCTGAAACTTTGTTTCACACTCGATGACCTCACAATCATATTGATGAGTTTGGGCGCCCCTCACTCTTGTAAGAGACCCTGAAATCTTGGTGCAAAAGGAGGGATTGCGTAACAACCAGGGAGAGAGACTTCTTTTTTCATTGTTAAGGACAATCTAAGATGGCTTTATTTTTGTTGTGCCACATTCTGATTATGTGGTTACTCCAAAGTCATGGAAATAAAAATTCCTTACTGCCCCTTTACCATTGTAAGTTTTTTCTCTTTTTCTCTCCCTCCTTCCTAAGGAGCTAATGTTTCACTAATCAATCTGGCTTATATATATATATTCAACATTTTGTTCATGGCAACTAATGTCAAACTGCAGAAGAGAACAACAAATTTAGGATAATCCAGGGAAACCTAGAGCCTTACTGGTTTGTTCCTATAAGTAGCAAAACTGACAATTTATGTATCAGTGTTTGACAAACACAGCCCTTAATCAGAGGTAAACCAAAGCATCACACTGACAGTGCCACCAGACACTTTCTGTTCCCAACCACTCACTTGTTCCCCTTCCCCGCTTCTGTGCTTTGTCATGTGTAGGATTTTCACCCAGACCTGCACAGTGGCTTGAGACTCCCTGCTTCTCAGCACCATCTGACTTTCCCTCCCAGGCCTCTTACATGTGAAATGTTGAGCCCACAGTCAACAGTGGTTTTATTTGTTTTTCCTCAAAGTTAAAACTGACCAAAGTTACGGGCTTTTTCCCTTTGCTAGAACAACAAACTCTCTTATGTTTACGTACAGTTTACATTGTTATTTATATGCAAATTGTCAAAATGTAAATTAAATATAAATGTTCATGCTTTACCAACACTCGTCTAGTGTCTTGAGTGAGGGGCCGGTGAGCGACGTCTTCATCATACTGCAAAGGTGGCCCCAGAACGGATTTTGAACGTGACACAGCTTGTCTCCTGACCGCCCCCAGCCATGATTCCCTCCATCAGAGACGGCGGGGGGAGTCATCTGAAGAGCTGATCTGTTATCTCTCCCATAGCTCAGCAGTGTAAGATTTTTCTTTAATTACGAGCTATAAAAGTGTTCTCTATGGAAAGCATTGCAAACATTGGCCAGTAAGTAGGGGAGACTTGTTTACTTTTATTGGACTTCTTTGTTTTACCCTGCTGGTGTGCATGGCATGGTAGGAAGGTAAGGCAGACTTAAGGATTAATTCCAGAAATGTCTTCCTAGCCTTGCACCAGTGTGTGTGTGTGTGTGTGTGTGTGTGTGTGTGTGTGTAGGCCCAGCCCACTCACGGGTGAGGGGCCCTGGGGAAACCCTGAGGCGCTGAGTCCAGGAACACTTTGCCCACTGGTAATGTCACTTGCTTCAGTAGCTAGCACTGAGCACACCCCAGAAAATAAGATCGTCTGTGCCTCCACATAGTCCTCCTGCCCTATAGCCTCTGGTATTTTTTTCTTCTTCACATCTTAACTTGGGAGGCAGGTTTGCCACTTGTGCATTTTAAATTCAAGAAAGCTGCTGTTTTCCCAGGAGCTGGACATCGTCAGTGTGAACCCCGGGGTTCATGGCAGCGTGGCCACGCGGCCCCAAAGGTCATGTGGCAGGAGGGAGTCCACTTGCTTGTGCACTGATGCTCTAGAAACAAGCCTGTTTCTAGGCACAAATAAATGTGAGTCTCACTTGATAGATGCGAACAGGAGATGCTTCTAAAAAAGTGTTAGTGTTCTCAATGAAAAAAAAAAATTAAAAAGCCCTTTGCAAATGGTTCTCATGCTTGCCACGTCATCCATTACTGCGTTCATGGTTCCATGCCCATGCTAACAGCATGCTCAGAAAATAATGCTCCTTCTTACATGTGGACACTCGAAACTGCCCAATTTTTTAACGTTTCTTCTTTATATTCACTTAAACATCTGTGCCAAGAACTTGAAATGCTGCCAACACGTAACTGTGGAGTTAAGAAAACCAGAACCCTATTGTCATAAACGTGCCAAATGGTGCTGGTTGAACTACTAAATTCTACAGAACCATTGTGGTAATAATTTTTAAAAACAAAGACCAATAAGATCCAGGGAGTAACAGTACTATCATAAATCATAGTTCTTTACTTGGCAAAGCATGTCTTTTTTTTCTTGAGAGTTATATATCTTGGGAACACTTGAGGACTTGGCTGTTTAATGAAACGTTACATGAAAAGATAACATTCACTAGGAGTACAGGTCTGCCCAGCCGGCGTCCACACAGTTGGATCAAGGCTTCCTGCAGCTGTTTGTAGGGCAAAAACAAGAATGAAAAAATCATCTTTTTTTGAATCTTTCCTTAAATACTGTTCAGTTCCCAACTCAACTCCCCACCATAATGGAATATATAGAATATATGGTTCCATGGGAGTTCATGGACATATTCCTAGATTTGGGGGGGAGGGTATGATTAGGAAACCAATTTAGGACCCATCCATTTATTTAATCCTGTGTGTGTGTGGGTGTGTGGCCTTTTTATAAAGGAGATAATGGGAAAAAGGCAGAGCAGAGAAATGAAAGTAATGTAAAACCAGGCCTGTAGGGTAATCTAGTCTAGAAAGGAAAGCTATACCACAGTGGATGGCAGCTAAAATAATGAATGAATAGCAGAGAAATTACATAGAACGTGATCACTGAATCAATGCAGAAGACAACTTCTCCTCCCTTTAGGAGACCATAGTGTTCTTTGTCCATAACATGTCCATTATCAACTTCTGGCCAGAAGAAATCAGATTATTCTGAACACTGGCCACCTCTGTGGGGTCCCTGTGTGGGTGCATAACAACTGGAAAGAGAGGGGACCCAGGGATAAGCCTTCTGCGGTCCTTTCTCAAGCCTCAAGTGCTGCTGAGGGCTGCTTGATAAATGAGATGTAATTTTAATCTCAATACAGCTTTAATCATGTAATTTAGGCCAAAAAAAAAAAAAAAAAAACCTCAATTTAGCAAGATTTCAAAAAGTTATTTTTAACCTGATTCATGCAACTACTCTCCATGCCCAGCTTCACTATAAATTAACAAACTCTCTCCTAGTTCACTCTTTCCTCCAGATTTAAAAGTAATGAACCAACATTGGCCAGGCGCACATTTCTTCCTCTCTGAATTTAAGACAGAAGCTTTTAGTAGCATAAACGTGAATGCAGTCACCTGGTAGTTTCTTCCTATGCCAACCAGAAAGAAACAAGTGACAGGTAAGTGCCAACGAGTGATTTTGGTAAGAAGTTCTTCAGTGCGTTAATAAGAGGTGGTTCTCATGGAAATGTGGCAGAACTTCCCATCTTTAAGTATCTGGAGGAAGCACCTATGGATGGTGGCAACCAGCTGTCCTACATTGTGGTGAGAGGCAGAGCAAAAGAAATGAAATGAAACCATAGCAGAAGGGACTTTGGTTTAAATTACAAAGACTAACACTGACCTTTAGGGTTTGTAACACAACGGGCTCATTTCCATGGGAGGGAGGGAGTAGGATCTTCTTCCTGGGAAGCTTTAGAGAGCAGTCAGGTTGTTTGGAAGCATGGGATGTACAAGATATTCTGGCAAGCCCTTCCTAGGTCTTTAATTCAATAATTTTTATCAACTTATCAATGA